CTGTGTATGTGTATACACACAAACACATATATATGCATACATACATATATATGTGAAGAATTATGAAAGAAGAAAAAGCTTTACAGCATTATCTGTTCTCCCCTGCCCCCCGCCCCGCACTCCCTGCCTCCCCAGGAGGTTATCAGCACATCAGCAACACACATACATGTACTCACAATCCTCCCCGTGTCTCTCCTTGGATTTTTTTTAATGTTAAATTCAGCATAGCATTCTTTTTTTATTTTTAATGAGTCACTATGAGATACACAGTTACAAAGCTGTTCATGATCAGGTTTGGTATTCTCTCTTTCTCTCTCTTTCTCTCTCTTCCTCCCCCCTCCCCCCACTTTGTGGCAATATTGGATTGATTTCCTGAGTACCGAAGCAGTGAGAGGTGGAGATGAGTGACAGGTGCTTCCTGTTTGTTGCATAACTGCCTTTTTCAAGGAGACCCTGAGACATGCACATGTTGTACCCTTTCTTATGTGGATTTCAGAAGTCCTGGAAATGGATGGAATGGTAGTATGGAGAGCCTGAAACTGTTCGGAGAAGTTGGGGTCTCTGGGAGTGATCTCCCAGGCCAGCTGAACAGGTCAGGGGTGGGAGTGGGGATGGGGGGGAGTGGAAAATTGAACCTGTGGTGAAATTGGAAATTGTGAAATAGCATCACTCCTTTAATCTACTGTGTATGTCCTGTGGATGGTGTCTTAGCCCAAGTCCTAAGTTGGAATTTTTGCCAAGAAGGTAGTTAGTGTTCAGGCCTTTGGATAGCTGTTTCTATTAGCTTGTGAGTCATCCTCTTTGCTTTGCTGTGGATGAACATTGGTGGTGTTGTACTCGCTGGCTTAGTGGATCTGGAAGGGACTGGGGTGGGTGAGTTCATTCAGCCAATTCCCACTGACTCCTGCAACTCCAGTTTTCCACTTCCCCACCCCCACCCCTGGCCTGGGACGTCACTCCCACTTTCTCCAAACAATCTTGCCTCTGACTTAACTCAGAATGGTTACTCCCACTGTCATTATATTTCAAATTTCTTCCTAGTATAAAACCTCCTTCTGCTAATAAGTTGTATACTTGAAGTATGGTTCATTCTGAGCTCTGATGGCTTCTCTTTTTGGGACAGATGAGATATGGAATAAACCATGTGGTGTCTGCACATCTAGATTATATTTGATTTTTAAGGTTGGGAAGAAAAATTTCCCCCTCTTTTGAATCCCCCTATTTTCTGGATACTATTAGTTACTTCTGTCTTAACTTCTGTAGTATTAGGGAACTGAATCATAGAGCCTCTGTTGAACCCTATTTACCAGGTGTGTGGAGTGAAACCTGGACTGTATAATCAAGGCCAGCCATGTTTCTGTGATTTCTGCATCTTCTAAAAGCCATCCAAGGATGGGGTCCTGAACTCTCTCCAGCTTGATCTGCTTTCCTTCAAAGTCCACTGTAACTTTGGAATGGTGATGGCGAATAAGGGATGTGGAAAATGAGGAAAGCAGAGAAAGTGATTCGAAATTTAGCTATCCTGGTAGAATCATAAATCTCACTTTGAGGGGCTAAAACTCTTAAAGACACAGTCATAATTGTTTATACTTGATTCACTGGAATTTTGCATCCTTCCTTGTAGCTTATGATGCAGGCAGCTACATACATGTATCTCAAAGGAAGGCAGATACAGATCATTTCATTCATAATAAAGTAGGTGGCCCTTGTTATCGGGCATTAGTTGTTCCAGAATGACAGGAAATGTTTCTGAAGCATATGTTACATCTGGATGTACTCATAAAGAAAAGAAGCTCTTCCTCAGAGCTGTAGCTCTGTAAGTCTTCACTTAGTCTGGTAAAGAAGAGTAAATATTCTTTAATTCAGGTGTGAGGGCATCCTAAAATCTCTACCAAGGCATCCCATTGGTGGACTACTGCTGTTGACTTCCTGAGTTCTGGTTAAGATTGTAAGGAAAATCCTAAGATTCTCAGGCTTGACACAATGATGACTGAACATGTTAATCATTGTTGGCCGAGACTGTTCTTTCTGGGCCTTATCACTTTTCCTTCTTTCTTCCCTTATTTTGTAAGTATAATGAGCCCACTGCTCTAAATATGAGAGCAATAGCTGTGTATTTAGGTTTAAAATGCAACTCTTTTTAATTGATAATGATTACTCTGGTTCTTTATTGGGTAAATGGATGGTTTGGGAAACTCATTATGAGAAAATTTCAATATGCCCTGCTTCCTTAGTTGTGCTAATTTCTGTATTCCAAAAATACACATTTTGGCAGATCTCTTTGGAATCTAACTTGGTAATATAATTTTTACAATTTGCCCAATGTTGGTTATTATGAAAGAATAGTCAATTTAAAGTAGATTTATTATGATAAAATAGAATAGTAGAAAGTAGAAAGTTAATAGGCAATGCAGAAATATATCCAAAAGTAAATAAACCCAAAATAAATAGGGTCCCTAACATTCATAATATGTTACTTGCATGGCTTAAAAAAGAGTTGTACCTTATGTGGCATATTCAGTGGCCAATAACCAGAGAAAACTTTTAATACAAGTGGATTTGGGACTCAGTCACAGTAGGTTCTGGTGGTGGTGTTGTGAGATGTTTGCTTTGTTCCTCTGTATTTTTTCCTTTGCAGAAGTGCAGGCTGTGTGAAGATCTTCCAACCCCAGATGTTGTTTATACCCTTGGCAGAGCCCTTGTTTCATTTGCTGACATTATAAGGTTTTCCTTTTATCTTTCCCAAGTCCTCCTCCTCACTAATAGTGTATCTTATTGTCTGTCACTAAAGTTGAAGTCTAATAAATTAAGGATGGTTCTGCATTGCCTCTTATCTGACTAGCATCTGTGGGTGTCAGCTGCCACCAAGGAGCTCGGGTGTCTGGGCCGCTCCTCAACACTTACAAGCTGACACACTGTCTTCTGATAAAAGGTACTTTCAAATATGCATGTGATGTTCAGTATACATTTTGTATGTCTAAAACACTTCCTGTAAGAGAATCATAGGATCTAATAAAACGTCTTGGCTGGAACTTTGAAAAGGCTGTATATAAATATCGCTGGAATGATAGAGCAGACATAAATACTTCACTCTGAGCTTTGCTGAGCATGTTCCGAATGTTTCTGGTCACATTTGTGAAATCTAAGCTTATCCCAGAAGAAGGGCCTGGGACCCAGGGCAAAAGCAGGCAGAATTAATTAAAGGGTTCACTGGCCTAGTAGGGAAATGATAAATTAATGGCAGACCCCCTATGTAGATTTATTTCTTACCTATTCAACCACTCTTATTTTGATATTTTTACATACCTCACCTAAAACCCTACATGTTTGGTCCTGGGAGATAGCTCAAAGGGCTTGAGTACATGTTTGTCATGTGGAGACTTCAGGTTTAATACTTGGTACACACGGTCTCCTTAGGACTCTGGGTGTAGTTGGTTGGTCCTCAGAAGCACTGGGCCTGAGCAGCATCTCATTGTCAGGACAGAGACCTGAACCATCCAGCCTGCACAGAGCCACTGGAAAGGACCCTCTGAACACTCTTGGGAGCATGCCCCCCCTGTTATCCTGCATGTCAGACAGACCTTGACTAGACTGCCACATTCAGACAGAGCACATAGTCTCTGTCATCTCCACAGAGACAGTTTTCATGAATGCCAGAGCCAAAATCAAAACATTGCAGGTTTGGTTTTGTTTGTGGTTTAGGGGCCACACCTGGTGGTGCTCAGGGGCTGTCTGTATTTGGGGGTTGCTCCTGGTGGTATTCAGGGGACCACGCAATTCTGGGGACTTACTCCTGCATGCAAAGCATGTACTTAGCCTATTGTGCTATCTCTCCAGCCCAGGGGGTTTTGGGTTATTTTTTTGTGTGTGTATTTTTAATAAAATATTTTTTTTTCTTTTTGGGTTATCCCCAGCGATGCTCAGGGGTTACTCCTGGCTTTGCACCCAGAAATTACTCCTGGCAGGGCTTGGGGGACCATATGGGATGCTGGGAATCGAACCCAGGTCAGCCGTGTGCAAGGCAAATGCCCTACCTGCTGTACTATCACTCCAGCCCCAGGAATATTTTATTCTCTTAATTCTTTGCAGCGTGCTATGGTATCTGTAGCTAAGATGACATTTGCATGAGTGAAGTATTTATTTTCCTGCTAGAACGCTCCATAACGTAGAAAAAGGCTAGTGTGTAGTAGTGGTGCTGGTGATGGTGGCTGGTGGTGTGAAAGCAGTGGTGGTGGGCTGTCAAATGTGAGAAGGTGTCTGAGTGCCCACTTTCTTCTGGAAAGTCAGGAGACAGCTCTCCCTTTGGCCTAGTAGTCCTTTTTTATGGAGAACTATCAGACATCAGTTTTCTTAATGGAGTTCTGCACTTGTGGTTTTATTCCACAGCTTTTCATTTCATAATGAGATCTTGATGGCAGGGTTTCATAGAAGCCATGAGCTGTCATTAATTGATTAGGATCCACTGTGTCAGTGCCTTTGTTCTGTCATCCAGCTTGTCTGCTGGATCAGAAAGTGGGGTGGTTAACAAAGGAGCCAGTGAGGGATGTGTTTCAGACTAATTGGTTGCAATACTCACTCTCCAGTGCTGATGCGATGTTCATTTTATCACCATGTTTCAAGAGTTCCTCACCAGCATAGCTCTTTGTTAGTATAATCCCTCCCTGTCCCCTTCCCTTTCTCTGCAGAAAACCAGCTTAAGAAACAGAAGCACAAATAGGACCCTTTGCATTGCCCTGAACTTAACTTCTATACTTTAAAGTCAAACCCCTTGTGGTATCTCTCCAATCAGAGGCAGTTAGACGTGGGTGCTGTGACTCATCCAGAATTAGAAGCTGCTCTGCCTCTGACCCAGTGGGTCACGGACGCCCACATCCACCACAGCTGCCGTACGGTGGTTTATTCCAGGGCTAATATAAGCTGCTGTGTCCCACGGCGGTGACTGTCAGTGCCGGACTGAGATTGTCATGTAATGTGGCCTCAATTCTTGTCTCCTTACTCAGACTGTTCCCTGGAAGCTCAGCCCAAATATGTCCGAGGTGGGAAGCGTTACGGCCGTAGGTCTTTACCTGAGTTTCAAGAGTCCGTGGACGAGTTTGCTGAGGTGACAGTCATTGAGCCACTCGATGAAGAAGCGCAGCCTTCGCACATCCCCGCCGGTGACCACAGTGAGGTAGGACTGGGCAAACACATCCCTCGGGACCAGAGATGCAGCTGCCAGGATACCCTGTCGCTAGGGGCACGCTGGAGAGCAGGGCATCTCCTTGCTGCCAGCTCCTCTCTCACATCTATACCTTCAGGCTGTAGACAGTGAATTCTTGTCTTGCTTGAATGTTTTCATTTCCATTCCAGAGTTTGGCAAGTGGAACACTTATGTGCTTGTTTTATGTCTATACAGATTTAAATTTGAGTGCATTATCCAGTTATTTTTCTATTTTCTGCAGCCTACAACTGCTAGTATTTCTTGGGAATATCTCTCTCCTACTCAGACTGTCTTTTTAGTTATATGAAAAGCCAACCAAGGCCTAGGGAGGTAAACTCAAAGGGCTGGAGTACATGTTGTACCTACTGGAGGCCTGGGTTTGGGTGGTCCCCCAGGTGTGGCCCCAAAACCACAAAATCACAATAGTATAATAATAAAATTTTACAGTTAACCAAGCACCCCTCTGTGCCCCGTCCCCACCTCTCACCCACAACAACTAACAAAGTGATAGTACAGCAGGTAGGGCTCTTGTTTGCACATGGCTGTCTTGGATTCAATCTCCTGCACCACATATGGTTCCCCAAGCCCCACCAGAAGTGATCCCTGAGCACAGAACCAGGAATTAACCCTGAGGACCGCTGGGTATGGCCCCCAAACAAAACAAAACAAAACAAAACAAGGAACCTATAAACTAGAATCCCAAACAGGTAGGAAGTAGAAGTTTTGAGGAAAGCATTTTGAAAGCCAGGATCTTATCTTCTGTGGTGGGACAAAGCAGTTCTACTGCACAGTCACTGTGAGGTCTGCGTGGTGGCCCTTCCCCACCAGGCTTCATGCCTCTCCCCACTTCAGAAGATTTGCCTGCCTCCAACCCCCACTCTTCATTTCACTTTGCCATAACATGACCATAAAGAGGAACTTATAACATTTTCCTTACTCTTTATGGCTCATTTACCAGCACTCCATTTATAGAACATGACTGAAAAGGCCATGCTGAGCCAGTGCTGAATATATCTTCCAGATCCCACCTCAGATGGGGATCATTTCTCTGAGTAACAACATGAAATGAAAAAGAGACAACACGTGTCACCTTTCTTAAAACTGTGGGTTGGTCAAAGGGGGGGACATGGCATGTGGGCAGACGTGTGAGAGTTTCTGTCATTCATGTTCAACTTATTGAAACCTCTAAAACACTTGCACCTACAAATCCCCAGCATGGAAACTCCCTGGACTGTTTAGAACTCCCCCAAACACAAAGGGGAGGGGAGGGATGCAAGTACTCACTGTAAGTCCTGCAGTTCAGAAGTGCATCTGCTGAGCAGGAGGAGTTTGCATTGCTTTCTGAGAGCACGCCACGCCTGTCCGAATACCAGAAGGGAAGAAGCATTAGCAGGAGTGTAAGCGAGGAGAAAGGAAGCCAAGCAGCATGATGCTAGAGAGAGAAAAACCACAGAAATGGTCGCAGTGAGGTATGGGTGAGAAGTGACAGCTGAACACAGGAAACACAGCCCAGAATGAATGTCCCAGCTCCGGGCCCAGCAGCCCTACTGAGCTTGTGTGCCATCATCATTCCAGTTAGGCTGCCAAAGCTTTCTTGGGTCCCTCCGAGGGTTCAGTGAGGCCCCCTTCCTGAGTGAAAGACACATACTCACAGGCACGGCATTCTTAACATATAGTTTCAAAGCGGCAGCTACTATTTCTGCTTTAGTTATTGCGGTGCTCCTGACATTTGTCTCCTAATGGGAGGGCATCAGCCTTTATAAAGACTGTTTCATTGTCCCTATAATATGGTGTGTATTTAAGACTATTTGTCTGTTATCTCCTTTTCTCCCACTGTTTTCAGTACCTGAGGCATTATTGCTATTTGGTGCAATAATGTGTGTGTGTGTGTGTGTGTGTGTGTGTATTGCGGGGGGGGGGGAGGTCCTCCCAGCTATTCTTTGCCAATCATACTAGTGGGTTGAGTGCAGAGGCCCAAGGATGTGATGTGGCTTTTTTTTTTTTTTTGGATTTTGGGTCACACCCAGCAATGCTCAGGGGTTACTCCTGGCGGGCCCTGAGATTCTGGGATTCCCCCAGGCCACCACTGTAGTACATGGGGTCTCCGGGGCTATACCCAGTGGTGCTTGGGGACTATGTGGTGCCAAGAAATGAACCTGGGTTGGCCCCATGCAAGACCTTAAACCTCTTCATCTCTTTCCAGCCCAATTAGTTATATTTTTATGAGTGTTTTTTCTAGTTACTATGTGGGAGTCCCCAGAAAGTTCCTGGGCAGAGTCAACTTAGTTGCTGGCAACCTGTTCGGTTAATCCTGTTTCAGCCAAGATGCTGACTTCCAGTGAGATTTGCTGCTTGAGAAGCAAAACTTCTTTCATGACTGTATAAAGACCTGAGTATGGGCAAATTCTTGCTTTTTTTGAAACCTTGAAGGACTGTATTAGTAGACTCATGCTTCCCCTGTCTCCAGCTCCCCTAATTCCTCCAGAAACCACTGAAAGTGTGACCTTTTGACGCGCTCCCCAGAAGAAAGCCTTTGTGTTGGCACCCACACTCAATAGAATGGCCCAGAGAAACGTGTTTCTCCTGGTCTATTCTCTGTTCCTCCTGATTCCACTTCTAGAGCTTGTTCTGTCCCACCCCCAGAAGTTTACAGGAGCACCAGAGGACACCTTTCATGCTCTTTTCCTTTGAGGGGGCTGTCTCTCAAGCAGCGCTGGTGTATGGTACCCCAACACCACCTCTGGTGATACTTGGTCAGCTGGGCCAGATAGTTCAGTGCTGGAGTCGGACACTGGGAGGCGAGGCGCTGCTGGGACGCAGTGCTCTGGAGCTACCAGGACTCCTCCCAGTGCTCTTTGGGTGCCCATGCAGTGCCAGGGATGAAAATTGGGGCCTTATGTAGGCCAAGCACATGCTCCAGCCCCCTGAGCTACCTTCCTTACCCCCTTGAGCTTTTTCTTTCTTTGCTGACATTGGACTTAAACCAGAGTTCCTGTAATGCATCCTTACCTGAAATGGGTGTTTTGTAAGTAAAATTGAGCCTGTCAGTTTCCTCCCCTGATGACTCTGAGTGTCCCCTTTTCCTTAATAGGGCCTGTCCTGGCTTTGAGCACACACTGTGGTTGTGAGTCCCTGTCTGTTTCTGCTGTGATGGGGACAGCCTGTGACAGGGTTTCCTAGAGGTACCACCCTGTTGCATATGGCAGTGACAGCCAGTGCTCCTGCTTCCTGGCTGGCTTCCCGAGTGGACTCTGGTTCAAACTTGTTAGCTCCAGCAGCTTAGCCTTGTTCCCGACGTGCTTATCCCTGCTACAGAAACTGTAAACATCACCAGAGTGGTCCCCAAGTGGGCACTGTGGGTTCTACTGATCCTCTCTCTTATCTCTCTGGACTGTAGTCTGCTTTTGTCTCCACTTTGATTGCCTGAGGCCCTTGTGTCTCCCACCCTTGGGTTAAAAACTTATTCCTTGGGTGTATTTGTCTTTTGAGGGCTCCTACTTCAGCTCAGTGCCATTTGGCAGTATTGGAGGAAGCAGGATGGAGAAACGTTCAGGTTGTCCAGGTCCCATCCTGGTCCCTCCAATAGTGCTTGCTGGCACTGAGTTTCCTTTGACACCTGTGAGGGAAGGTGGCTCCCTAACTTCCTTTCAAGAGCTTTCTCCTGTTTTCAGACCTGCTCCTAAAGGAACTCTGGACAGATTTTTATTGACTGTTTTTCTTTGTGTGTATTGGGTGGAGTGTTGGGGGGACCCTCAGGAGGCAGTGCTAAGAATTGCCCAGCCAGCAATTCTCAGCCAACCAGGGCCAGTGGCTCAGTTCACGGGCCTGAGGGTGTTTGGGCCTGGACCACCCCAGCCAAGTTAGAGGCCTCCACAGCTACACTCAGTGATGCATGCTGGGACCTGGTGCTGGCACTTGAACCTAGGTCAACAGCCTAGCATGCACCCAAACCACTGTACTATCTCTTGACCCAACTTTGGAGATTTTTCACGAGGACAAAAGAACATAACTGGTTGTTAGAGTTAAGTGGAAGAGAAATCTGTTGCTTACCCACAGAGACTAATTTTAGCTCTAAGATAAAGGAGATTATTATTTCCTTTTATCTGAGGACAGGATAGACAGGCAGTGGAATGATGTCATGAGCACCTATGAACACTGATCTCTGGGTGGCTCTCTCCCATCCAGGAATTCATTCCTGAGCAGCCACCAGAAGCAATAAAATAATACACCCTACATCATCCCTGTTTTCTCCAAGGGTTAGTCCATAGTAAGGTGCAGGGTAGGTTCTGCATACTGAAATTCATTGCTGGGCTCTAGAACCAAGTGAGTGGTTCACCCATTTTCTCTGCATTCTTATGCACGAGAATTTCTCCTGTGTGTTTAATCTGGAGTGTAGGTTTTTCTCTGTAGTTTTCCTTGCCCCGGCCTTACCCTACCTCCCCCTCCCTCAAGAAAACACTCCTACGTGCTCGCGTGAGAGGGATGCCGTCTCAGAGATTGCTTCTCAGCAACTCCACTTACTTTGTTTATTGTTGTTGTTGGTTTAGGGGCCTCACTAGCGCTGCTTAGGGCTTACACCTGGCTCACCACAAATTCTAAGCTTGTGTGAAGCTTCATGCTTTATTGGTGACTTTGGACCTCCTCTCACACCCCTTCATGGCGTGCCCGGTGGTGTATTGTCTCAGGTGAGGACACCGTGTGGGACTGTGATAACAAAGCTCACCGCCCTCCGAGCATGTGAATGTATGCTTTGTTAGGTGTTTCCCCTTGTGTCCAACATTTTTTTTTGGGGGGGAGGTCACACCTGGCGATGCACAGGGATTACTCCTGGCTCTGCACTCAGGAATTACTACCAGCAGTGCTGGGGAGACCATATAGGATAACGAGGATTGAATCTGGGTTGGAGCATGCAAGGCAAACGCCCTCCCGGCTGTATTACCACTACTCCAGCCCCAACACATCACTTAAAT